TTTTTTTTCATTAATTGTTACATGATGCACCCCAAAATATTAAAAACAGTACCGATATATTAAAACAAAGTGGCCATCAGATATACATGATTATACATGACTAATTGCTAAAAATATAAGTGTCTAATTGTAAATGATTTTTAAGAGAGTACTTCAAATACTTTTGTTTTATATTCGATATTTAATTTTTGTTATTAAGAATGTCAAAAAAAATTGATTACAGTAATAAAAATTATTGTAAAAAAACATAAGTTCTCACTGGATTAATTGTGGCCTTTACTAAAATTTATATGATTATTATGAAGAACAGGTATATATGTACACAGAAATGATTAAATAGATTATATATATTAATGAAAACACATTTATAATAAGAATGTAGATTTATAAGGACCCAGCGATGTAGATTCTTAGAGACTGTATACAATTTTTACTGCCAGATTTTTTTGACATATTGCAACATTTAGTATTAAATGGGAAATTTTTGATATATTATTTGAAAAAATATAAGTCTTGTAAACAAATTAATATTATTATTAAAATGATGTCTATCTAATTTTTATTAAAATCTGGAACTCATATCTTATTAATATCAAAGGTTGTGTTGTATTATAAAAGAAAGTTTTGTAAAGAAAACCTTCTACAAAGTATTTAAAAATAATTAATCAGTGGTCCTTCTTAAGAACAATAGCAATAAATTCATGTATATTTATATATATATAAGTTTATATTTATATGTTCGAATATATATATTGGAACATATATATATATATACATAGGGAATAATATTAATGGAAATTATCTTAAAACAAAGTTGTCGTAATACTCTTCACATATTGCCGACGTGTTCACGTATTAATTATTGAATAAACAAGTTTATATGTTTAGTTTAATAAACTGCCATTAATGTAAATTGATAAATATTATTATTGGTATAACGAAATAAAAAATACTTCGGACTCAAAAACTCATAGATTATTTAAGAAAAAAGAACATGGCTAAACCATGGCTGAACCAAAGAAGTAGTTTTGCCACCATCGAAATTAGTGTGCCAACTAATTATTGAACTTAAAAGTTACTTACATTCATTCTTTCACACAAATATTTCAATATTAATAATAACAGTAACAATAGCAGTAGTCGTGAAAAAGGAGAAACGTAAACTGACTAAGAAATAACCAATAAAACACTTTCAATGTTAGGTTAGGTTGGCACATAGGTCCACTTAAGATCCGTATAATAAACGTAGAGGTTTAAAAATCACCTCAAACTTTTGGCAAAGCTTAAAATATTGTATAGAGGGAGGTTCTACTCGGGCCAAGATTCTCACAAAAACAAACCACTATCAAACTAGTTATGATACACTTTCATCGTCCTCTCTACAACTGTGACAGAAATAATTAAACGGGATTTTCGATCATTTAACCTAGTTCTCTAATCGGCTGTGATCCGTCAACAAACCTATCACAAGACTGATATCTTTAGAACTCAATTTAAAAAAGTGTTGATTTGTGTTTGGCGTATATGGTAGATCAATTTTGTCTAATAAAGCATATATGCATATAAAAAACTAGTTTTTCATACATTACTGACTTAACTCTGTTTAATTTTACTATAACTTTTAAAGTTTTAAATATAAATTTATGCTACTTAAAACCACTTAATTCTTCACTTTATTCTGCTTTCAGGTTCTGATTGAAAATTAAGTTTTTTTCTTGATTTTGCATTGGTAAAGAATATTCATTGAAGTGGCAGCACCAGACACAAGGCAGACAGGCAAACTAAAAACGGCAAAGTGTAAGTCATTTAACTACGAAAAATAATACGAAAAAAAACAAAACTTCAAAAAAGAAGTTGCACAGTTTAAAGAAAAGAATTTCATACGAAACACAAAATTACAAACAAACGCATGATGAGAAAATACGACGACACAATGCAGTAAGTTTCGTTACTGCTTCCTTGTAACAACAACACTAGAAGCAGCAGCAGCATCAGTTAAACAGTTTTTCTTAGTTTAAGGAATTTTCATAATTTGTGCGAAACTACTTTCACGTATTTGCATCTCTTTCGCGCAAATATCCTTTAAGCCGAAAGTAAAGTATGCCATTTACGTCAAGTTTACGTACACTTCTTCTTCTTCTCATCTGTTTTGTTGTTGTTGTTTTTAATTTGCATTGCCTCTTGCTGCCTGTGCTTAATACGTACTACTGCAGACAGCCATGTTTGTTTTTGCCGGTTATTTTGTGTTGTGTCTTTCAAGTGTTGCACGCACGCATGCAGCGCAAACTTGAAAATACACAAAAACAAGAAAAAAGTAAAATGAAATTAAAAAATAAAAATAAAAAAATGAGAAGAAAAAAATTTGCATTCAAAAAAAAGGGAAGAAAAGTAGCAAAAATGCCAGTGAGTTTTTTAATGGCTGCTTCAAAATTAATTCGATTTTAAAATATCCTTACTCCGTCCGGCCTGTCACAAACCCCCTTTAAAATGAATGCATAAACTAAATAGCACAAAGTACTTTTTAATATTTTTGAATTCAGGCGACTATTTTTTTGTTAGGTAAATTGAAGTACGCTGGTTTGTTTTTTTGTGCCTTATAGTACCTCTTTTCTTTCGTTGCATGCTGCATTATTGCCAATTGTACTTGTTAATTTCATTACAATGCAAATGGAAAGCAGAAAAAAATTATTTTTTTTTGTGAAAATGTTACCGCAGTAGGGTACTTTTAGAAGGCGTAGCTCTTTCAAGTAGTCGATATGATTTTTTTCTCGTATTTGCATTTATAACTTTAAAGCCGCCATCGTTTTTTGTTTTTTTTTTGATTTGCCTTCTATGTAATTAATTGGATTTGAATATGAGTGCATTTTAATGGCTGCAGTTGAGAGTGTTGTAAGGTGACAAAAAAACCAACCTTGTTGCTTATTTACTAAATATTTCATGAAATATTAACCACTTGAAATTGTTATGAAACATTTATTAAAATATAAGTGCTTCGGATAACGTATATCAGATAATTGCATATTGAAGTACTCACTGATTCTGACTGACGTTTATACAGTGTACACACATACACAAATGCACATACATACTACACTTGTGTGATTGTAGTTTTCGCAATTTGCAATTCAAAATATGCAAGTGTAAGTCAAGTTGACCTTTGACACATGCCAATTAATTTTTAAGTAGTGTTATTATGGCACTTGCAACATTGTTTGCTGAAAATTAAAATTTATTTAATCAAGGCCAGTAGATATTAGAAGGGCCATTTAATTAAAATACTTAGATACATTGTTGTTGTTGTATGGTTGTACAATATTATTTACATTCTAGTTATTATTCTATTTATTATAAAGACTATATTTAACAAGACTTAATTTATACACCTAAAACTTATGTCTCCATAGAAGGTTTATTTGCCTTCAATAATTGTGTAAACATACATACATATATATATGCATATTAATTAATAGAAGCATTAGAATATTAATCAAAATAAATATTTTTCGTTTATATATATATAAATTATTCATTTCTAACTTTATACTGAGAAATTTATTATGTTATTAATTTTAGATTTTATCAGTATAAATATAAAATACTATAAATAATTCCATTGGTTCAAAGTTTAGACAGTGTGACATGTAGATGGCGTTGCACAATAATAGATGTGTTCTAGCGAATAATGATTGCGGGAAGCAATAACAATATGATGAACTAGTACAATAATTAATATAGTTCACATTCTGGTGAAGTATATATATATATCAAAAATTAAAATAGAAGGGAATACCATGAATTTTGGCATACCATGTAGATTGCTTTGAGAACTGTGCAATCATAACTATAATTGATAGTACTATTCTATATAATTGAAGGCGGCTTGAAATGTTTTAGTGTTCGGGCACAATATCTTTTAGTTCCTCCTAAAAGATATTGTCTTTCCTTTGACTTTATCAGTAAAGATGAAAGAATATATATATATAACCGATATTTGAAGAGCATGAAGAGCAAAACTAAAACAAGTTCACTTTCTCAGTTACATTTTGGTAATAATTTAAACAAATGAAAACAGGACAATTCTATGACACTTTTATTACTTTCCGAATCCGAATGTAATTCATTAGAATATAAGATCTGTTTTCTTTTCTTGGATATCTTTTCTTTGTCAAGGTAAATTGTAGCACAAAAGATCTACTGCAGTCTCTGCCTTCCATTGGGGACCTAGTTTGTTAGTATTTCTGTTATATCATTTTTGAATATTCTTTCTTCGTTAATATCAGTTATAGCAGAAAAGATCTACTACAACTACATCTATTATATTTGAGTTTTTTTAACTAAAACAAAATTACACTGTCAGAATGTGAATAAAAAATTTAAAAATATTAAATATTAAAAATATTTATAAAAATAAATTGCAATTTTATATTTAATAATTTTTTTTTAAAAATTATTAATAGTTTTTCTTTATATATTGTATTGTTTTCACTTTGCAATACAAATATTTTATTGACGGAATTCCATCAAAGATATTTAATACTGATTATTTATTACACATTTAATAAAGTGTTCTTATTTAATCAAATAATCCTCACTATTCCTTTTTCTAAAAATCTTTTAAATATTCTATTAGGCAATTAACTTTATATTGCATATCCTTGCTAAGGTAGTAAAATTTCAAAAATCTATGATTTTGTAATGAAAATGCACTTAAACATTCGAAAATAGAGACAAACACCATTTCTATGGGTAATAAAATAGATCAGCACATAGCAGCACATGGGCTAACATATTTATTGTCATAGATTCTTTGTCATTAAGAGAAAAGCTATCAATCCTTTAGTACACTTAACTGTTGGAGATGGAAAATTTTATGGTGCAATAAAGTAAAACAACGCGAAAATAGTGTTAAATTTTTAATGCCAATTTTTTTGTACTTTCGAATTGGAAGAGGACGAAAAAAAAATCACTTGACAACTATAAAATTACAGGTTTTCGCTTACCTGTATACGATCTTCGGCCAAACCCGTTTTCATCGACAGCAATTCACGTGCACTCACATCGGGATAATGTGCTTCTTTAAATGCTTTTTCCAATTCCTCCAATTGATTGCTCGTAAAAATGGTACGCCCATGACGACGTTTATTCTTTTTTTTACTACTACCACCTGGACCAACCAGACTGCCATCACTAGCAAAACTATTCGGATGACCACCACCACCAGCCATACCACTTCCGATGGCAGCTGCTGCGGCGGCACCATTTAAAAATGCCTCGTGCGGTGCACCAGGATGATGGGGATGATGTGGATGATGCGGATTATGGTGTGGATGGTGGTGTTGATGTTGTGCATGATGTGCTGCTGCTGCTGCCGCTGCATGATGTGCTAGTGCGGCGGCAGCATGTTCGGCGGGTGAGAGTGTTGGGCGTGTAGGTGGCGATGAGGCATTCGGCCCTACACCACCATTACTAGTGCCACTATTGATACTATTACCATTGGTGGCGGATATATGTGCATTGCTGCCTGAACTGCTGCTGGAATTTGTTTTACTTGGTGATTGTTCATCGCTATTGCTGTTCAGGCTATTTGAATAGTCCTGTGCGCCACGTGATGTTTGTTCTGTAAATTAAAGAAGGGAAACAATGAGAAATATGCAACGATTTGAAATTGTGTGTTGTAGATTGTATATCAAAGTTTAATGTTCTCTTTGGAAAGGTATAAAATTTATCTACTAAATTTATATTCACAAAATTTAGATTTTAGTAACATTTTATTTATCTAGTGGTGTCAACACTGAACACGTAACTAGTATAAAAAATGACTCTTTCTAGATTTCCATGATTCTATGAATTTTTATATGCCAACAAAAATTAATACGAAATTAATTGAAGATTTAATATTTCAGTTAAAATTCTTTTAGATACTCTGTAGCTGCCATTCAGTTAAATGAATTGACAAAATAACACCTTTTAATCTGCTTAAATATAATTTGAGATACTTTTTAAACCACTTAACACCCTAATTGTCAAATAACAATAGCCTACAAAACAAAGAAAAAAAAAACAGAAATTGCAAGTAAAAGGATTCCTGAACGAAAAAACCCTTCTAAGAAAATTTACATGGAAAGTAAAGTAACCTAACCCTTCAGTGCTGTTTCGCCTGCTTGACATTCATGCACGCATTTGACATTTGAATAATCGCAACTTGTCAATCTCTTTTAATTTCCTAGCAAAAACATTTGTCAACATGAAACCTTCTCAAAACACTAAAGATGCGCTACGATATATACTTGTGTTCCTATTCAAAACTCATATATAATCCGATATAGACGTTCCTGTTTATCGTGTGCAAAAATCGCAAATTTCTTTTGAATTTATTGCCAATGCATGCTAAGACGTTTGAGGAAATAGGATTTGTATTTAAATCTGCACCGCATTTGTGTTCACCGAAACGTGTGTGTTGCTCCTTTGTTGCTCCTGTGGCAAGGATACGAAACATATGTAAAATCGTGCCAATAAAAAACTTTTTATGTAGAATTTGTAGCTAACATTGTTAAGGTAAATATATTTTTTGGGTGCGTTTTATTGTGACAGACTGAGTAAAAGGTGTCAGAAGAGTCCTTTTTTCTGCTATTCTGCAATCCGAGCACTAAAAAAAAGAACACCTTTCACTTAAGTGTTAGTTCGAGCGGAGCATTAAATATAAATCGGAAATAGTTTATGTGCATTATAATTTCTTTCTTTTCTTTGAATAGTTTATTTAATGCCAATTACAGCATGTAACAGGATATAGAAGCCACAACAAGGATTTACTTATCGAGATTTTTTTGTTCTCATTTATTGTTTGAGAAATTTTGAATTTTGTGCACTTAAGTGGGCGTTTTGTGTATATTTAAGTCTATTAAAATGTTAAAATAGAATTGGTGAAAGTTATTTTTTGTTGACATATGTGAGAAAAGTAACCAAAGGGTTAATAAAATTGGAAAAAAAGTAATTATAGTTATGATTGCTATTAGGTACTCTGATCTGTGAGGTATTTGATTCGAATTTATGATATAATTTCGTTTAGGTTCTAAAATGGTTGAAGTATATTAAAGAAATACTAAAAAGAGCTGTTAAAGTAATTTTATAAATTTATTTTCGCATATTTACATATGGTTTCTTATACCAGTTCTTATATATTAGAACTTGAATGATGTTTATATAATATTAAATTAATAATATGGAAGAATCTGTTTGATAACAATAGCATTTCCATAGTTGAAATTCTCTGTCAACTTTAATATTAGTTCTTATATTGAACTAGTTTTAAACGAATGTTTTTTAACAGTGCCATTAGGAATCACAGTCCTTGATATATAATAGAAACCAAGTTTCAAATTTACATTCATCCTGTTCATTATGAATAAGTTAGTATATATAAATTAAGACTGAGACGCTTAATTAAATATAACTTAGGTTAGGTTAAAGTGGCGATCTTGTGCACCAAAACCCCACTTGAGCTCCTATAATGGCCCGTAGGCGATCCAATAGCTATCAATGAACCTAGAAGAATGTAGTGTTTGCTACTAATTGGTGCTATGATTGGGCCGTAATTATTTAAAAAGAAAACGAACTATTAACATCAATGGCTGCATGATCGAAAGGAATTAAGGAATGGAAGTTTTATGTAACTTCTTAATCGTGACAAGTAGAACTCCAAATGTAATTTCTGAAATATACCCTTAACAACTCATTATGTAATATAATTGTATGTCATTAATATCATTAACTTATTTATCGAGTTATAAACTTTTTATTTGTTTATTAAAAAATAGCATAACAAAAATTTGAATAGAGCATTTATTAATATAATATTATTTAAATACTATTTAATACTGAAAAAGCACTTTTAAGCAGCATAATAATGCTATTTAGTTGTATTAACTATGATAACCATTCACATAAGCAAGGCATCTAAGATTGATTGCACTTTTCTGAATGAATTATATTAATATTGTAACAGAATTATTTAATTACAATTAGTTTTTCATGTGAAATTAGATAAATAAAAAAAAATATCCTCAAGTACTATAAGTTCCTTTTCATTTTATATAGTAGATCTTAAAATATGTACTTCTGTTCTCTCTCTCTCTCTTAATATTATTATATCTTAATAAAAATCTTTGAGTTTTAATAAATTTTTAAATTTCTTACACATCAATTGGCACATGTTATAATTTTTCACGAATTTGAAAAATGAAAGAAACTATAAAAATCTCTTTTATTAAGCTGTTTCCGGAATAACCAAATATCATTATAATGAAATATTTCACTTATAAGTAAAGGAAATCTTCTTCTTCAATTTCCTTATAAAGTAGTAAAAAAGTGAAAACAAAAAAAAATTGAATTGATATCAAATGACTTCAAATATTGAAATTCGATAATCAATCTGTAGAAATCACGGATATCTGAGCATATCACTTAATAAAAAAGAAATATGTTTAATTGAATAACAAAAGAAAATTGCTTAATTGAACAATTAAATATAAATATTTCTCATTCCACAACAAAAAAAAAAATAAAAAAAAAGAAATCCACACAAAGGAAAGAAAATAAAAGTAGAAATATAATAAGAAAAAAGAAATAAACTGTAGAAAGAAAGTGAAAACAAGGAAAAAAGTATCGCATGACAAAAGGAAAAAGTTTTTGCAAAATTGAGGTATTGCCATTCTTTTCAGTGTATTTCCTCGGTATTTGATAAGGGGAAAAGGCAGTAGTTTGTAAAGATACTGAGATACTTTACGCGCTATTGCATTGGCACTTTGTAGGGTCAGTATGGTCTATTCAAACGTACACGCAGTTTCGATATCATTTCAATAATTTGCGGCTGGTTGTGGCTAATTGTTAATTGATGTGTGTATAATGTTAATATACACTCGGATGAATGAGGCAAATTGACCAGTGAATGATGTATTAATAGGCCTGCGAGACATGCACAAGTGCTAACTGTGCTCTATAAAGATATTTTTAAAATGTTATGCCTCTACGGTGACGAGTAGTTGCGAATATTAAAACGCTTTAGGGCTTTTATTTGTAAAATAATAATAGTTTTATATATATGTGTGTGTATACATTTTTTTTATAAAAAATTTTTTAATAAAAGTTTTAAAATGTTTATAATTGATAATTAGCTTTTCTACGTATTTAGTTTTATTTTATTTATATATTTATATGATAAAATAATATGCGTATCAAGAATCTTTTGATTCCTTGATTCTTATTAAATATATTTTTAAAAATATTTATTAAAGCATTTAAAAATATAATAGAAAAAATATTCTATGTAAAAATACATAGACACATATGTTATTAAAAATGTTTATTAAAGTATTTAAAAATGTAATTGAAAAATATTCTATGTAAAAATACATAGACAAATATTCTATTAATAAATAAGTATTTTCAATAAAAATACAATTAAAGTTTATATTAGAAATAAAACTATAAATATTTGAGGTTAAGTGGTATAGAATAAGTGAGGAATGCAAAAGACGTTTATTATTATTATCATAATTGCATCAAGAAGCTTCTGTATTAATCAAAATAAGTGTGTAAAGTAACTATCTCTCTATTATCTTCTTCGACTATTTATGTGATAGTAATAATATATAATTTATATTATTTTTAAACAGGTCAAAGTGATATTAAAAACTATATATCCTCTTAAAAAACCGATTAATGGAATTTTGGATTCAAAACAAGTGGATTGGTAAGATCTGAAATCTAAAATATAAATTTGACAACGTACGTTTTTACTAATCACTTGTTATTCGGCTTCGACTTATTATGTGATAGTAACAGTATATAATAGTTGTTATTTTTCAATAGGTTAAGGTAAAACTGAAAACTATATATCCTTCCAAAAAACTGATTATTGGAATTTTGGACTCAAAAGAAGAGAATTTGTAATATAGAGTGAGATCATAATATAAATTTGAAAACTAACATTTTTACTAAACACTATTTAGTTTATATTATTTCATTCATAACTGCGTTTGTTATAAGGAATGATTCTAAAAGGTTTAGAAAAACAACAATAACATTTAAGATGTCTATTTGATGATGGTGCCTCGGGAACAAAATGAAAATTTTATAGCAATATATCTGAGCTGGACGTCGAAAACAACTAACTGCTAATAATTTAGATTTTTGAAAAAAATTTAATAAAAGTAGAAGCAGAAAGTTATGTTAGTTTATAGTACTGCGCAATGAAGTAAATCTAAAGATGGACTGAAAGACAGAGGCCAATAGATTGATAAATTTAGTTTTTTTTTTTTATTCATAAATTTCTAAACTTCCAATACTGTGTAATGGACTGAAACAAAGAATAATGGATGATCTAGCGCGATGCCAGTTAGAATCCTCCATATGGGTTTTTGAAGCATACATGAAAGATTTTTTTAAAGCGTTAGTTTTGGTTAGCCTCGATGAGATTTAAGGCTAGATCTTATTTGTCGTTGTGCTAGTACAAACGCACTGATCAATAACATATAATCAATCTCTCCTTTTGATAATAAAACATTAAAGCTATAAAATTTTTCTTTTTATTTCATCAAAAAATACATAAATATTTGTTGT